GAGAGAGAGCATGAGAGGGGGGAGGATCAGAGGGAGAAGCAGACTCCCCGCTGAGCAGGGAGTCCTATGCGGGACTCGATCCAGGGACTCCAGGATCATGACCTGAGCCGAAGGCAGTTGCTTAACCAACTGAGCCACCCAGGCGCCCCCAATACTCATATTTTAATCAGCTTGTCTAAAATAGTTCTTATCTTTCTACTTAAATATTCCATGGCTTGGTGATGTTTAATGGACCATCCACTCATTGCTGAAGGTGAAACAGAAAATTGTCCTAGACTCTCTTTTTTACTTCTCCAGAAGTCGTAAGCTCTGTGAATGATTATTCTTAAAACTATCCTTTCTACTCCTCTCCATCTCCACTTCTCTGCTTTAAGTTGGACCTTATCCCTTACTACCTGCATCATCCCAGTTACTTCCCAGTCCGTCTCCCTGCTTCTGGGTTAGTATCTCTCCAGACCATTCTCTACTTTGCCTGCCAGGTTATCTTTCTAAATTGACAACATGACATCAGACTCCTAACATAAAATATTTTAATTATTTCCCGTAACATTCTAGATTAAATTTCATTTCCTTAATTTTGAGAAACAAAGTCCTTCAGAAACCCATTCCAGTCTGTTTTTTCTGAGCTTCATCTATCACTCCTTCTTTTTTTCAGCCATATAAAGTACTCGCAATTCCCTAGACATGCCATGAGGTTTTGTACCTTCTCTTGTTTCATATATCATTGTGCCTTTGTATATGCTTTTTTCTCTGTCTACAACATTTTTGTATATACTTTTTTTTGTATATACTTTGTATATACTTTTTTCTCTGCCTCTTCCATTTTTGATCACTTAACTTGATCAAAAGCAAAACTTCCCAGTTTTGCTCTGGGAAGCTTTGTTTCTGAAGACCTCATATGTATTTGTGTCATAGCATTTACACACCAAGCTACATAATCTAATTCTTACTCTTTTCCACCCAGACTGTAAGATCTCCTGGAGGACAGTGTGTCATCTTTATTTTAGGCTCCATATTACTTAAAACAGCACTGGTTCCAAGTACCTGCTCCATAAATGCTAATTGACTGAATCTCATTCATGTTAAAAAGAAAAAAAAATTAAAAAAAAAAAAGTTTCAGTGGAACAGAAAGGTTTTCAACTTGAGCTCTGGACCCATTCATTCTAAGTAATGTTAGACCAAAGTCCAACAAAATCAAAGAATTCCTGTTGGAATATAGTTTGATGTGCTTTATACATTCACTGGTTTTTGGTATCCAGATTCATGTAGAATGTTGATTAAGGTAATTCTTGTCAACCAAACAAATGATGCTGAGGTTGGAAGTTGTCTTTTCAGGCTGGTTTTGCTTACTGTTTTGAAACAGCAGGCAGCATTCTTTTTTGTTTTTGATGGAGACTTGTTTCTTCAACAGCTTCATCTGAAACCCCTTTCCAGGAAGTCCATGGGTTACTGTCAGACTTTGCCCAGAGTTTTCACAACAGCACTGCCAGGACTAATCCCCTCTCATAAATCCTCTAAGCTGTCAGCAAACAAACCTCTTCTTACCAGTCTACCATGAAAGCCATGAGCTAAGAATATAGGGCATTGGTCGTTAAAGGGCATTTGGTTTTCAGTCTCCAGATTTCCTGTTAGTGCTTTGTCCTCTGCTGTTGGCCCATCACGTTGTAGGTGCTGTGTGGGCATACTTCAAGGTTGCCGCCAGTTGTTGAACAGTTACAGAAAGCTGTGATTTCCCTATTATGAGAGAACTGTGTACTTGTGATTTCTGCCATTCTGATTAGCAGGTAAAAGAGATTAAGACTGGCTACTTATCAGGATTAGTGAGAGTAGAAACCTACTTCCTTCTTGAAGCCTTTGGGTCTCTAGGAGGTACTTTCAGCCCTTTATTTTGCAACCAGATCTGCTTGATAAAAGCAGGGAGGAGAAAAGGGTTGTTTGGTGAAAAAAGGATCCAGATAATCAGGATTTTTTTTTTTTAAGATTTTATTTATTTATTTATTTGAGAGAGAGAGAATGAGACAGAGAGCATGAGAGGGAAGAGGGCAGAGGGAGAAGCAGACCCCCTGCCGAGCAGGGAGCCCGATGTGGGACTCGATCCCGGGACTCCAGGATCATGACCTGAGCCGAAGGCAGTCGCTTAACCAACTGAGCCACCCAGGCGCCCCAGATAATCAGGATTTTTAAAAATCAGTTTATTGAGTATAATATCCATACAATAAAAATCACACATTTTAAATGTACAGATTGATGATTTTTGACAAATGAATGCACCTGTTTAACCATCACCCAAACTAAGATGTAGAATAATTTAATTTCCCCACAAAGTTTCTTTGTGTCCCTTTGCATTCAGCCTCCTCTCACCACCCCATTGCAACCAACCGCTCATCTGATTTGCCGCACTAATCTAATTTTACCTGTAAAACTAATCTAGTTTTACCTGTTCTAGGATTTTGTATAAAAAGAATCACACACTATCTATTCTTTTATTTCCAGCCTCTTTTTCTCAGTATAACATCTTTGAAAATTGTCCATGTTGTTGCATGTAATAGTTGTTTCTTTCTTTTTATGGTTGAGTACTATTTTATTATGTGGATATACCACAATTTATTTATTCACCAGTTGAAGGAAATTTGGGTTATATTTAGTATTGGGCTTTTATAAATAAAGCTGTGAATATCTATATATACATTGCTTTTCATGGACATTGGGTTTCACTTTTCTTGAATATATACCTAAGAGAGGAATTCTGGGTTATATAAGTATATATTTAACTTTGTAATAAACTGGCAAACTATTTCCCTTAGTGGCTGCACCATTTTACACCCTCACCAGCAATGTATAGAGTTCTAGTTACTGCAAATCCTTGCCAAAACTTGGTATTGTCTGTCTTTTTCATCATAGCGTCCTAGTGGGTGTGAGGTGTCTCTCATTATTTTAATTTTTCACATTTTTTCTTTTTTTTAAGCTATATTTATTTATTTATTTATTTATTTATTTATTTATTTATTTAAGTAGTATCCATGCCCAACGTGGGGCTTGAACTCATGACCCTGAGATCAAGATTCACATGTTCTAACTGAGCCAACCAGGTGCCCCTAATTTTTTGTGTTTTTTGATGCTGTTGTAAATCGTGTTTTTTAAAATTTCATTTTCCTTTTTTTTGCATATAGAAATGCAACTGATTATTGTATATGACCTTAACATCAAAGTCATTTCGTCCTTCTCTAGCAGTCTTTTGTTTTGTTTTTTTGTGTGTGTGTATTTTGTTTTAGATTTCCTAGGATTTTCTACATAAACAGTTTGGTGTTGATTTGCACTTACCTTATTCAACTTTAGGCAGTAAGCATACAATCCACATAACCTGGATTTTTGGCTTGTGTAGTTTTCTGGATATTTGAAAGCCTTATCTTTATAGGCCTCTGTATGCATGTTAGGATGACATAATTGAAGTGTGAACCATGAATATGAAGTGGATGAACATGGTTGCAGTAATAATCATATGTAGAATTGGCATGGCAGATGGTAAACAAGGCTGTTTTGCCTTCTGGGTTTTTGAAAATTTAGAAAGAAGGTCCTGAACTCTAAAGAAAAATAAAATTTGGCTCTAGCCCAAAAAAAGCACTTCGTAAAACCAAGGTACAGCAGAGGATAATGGCATTACCTCTGGCCATTTGTAAAGCCACTTACAATTCATTCATTGGACAAATATTTAGTGAGTGAGAGTGAGTGCTGACCAGGTACCAGACACTGTTTTGGTACTGGGGATGCACCAGTGAACAGTCAAAAATCCCTGTTTTGATTACATTCTAGTGGGAGAAATGCACAATAAATATTAGGCATAAAAATATATTGTGAACAGGGCTTTGGAGAAAAATTAGGTAGAGAAGGGGTGGTGTAGGTGTATAGAAAGTACGCTGTTTTTAAGACCCCTATAGACTATTTGATTAAAGCTGGAAAGTCATCAGATTCACCTCATAAACCAAGTAGTAGGAAAAAAGGTTAATAATTATTCAGTCAGTGATGATCCTCTGATGAGGATTATCTCAAGTTTAGATAGGTATTCCCTAATGATTATCTTCTCTAACCTAATTGTCTTATTTGCAAGGAAGAGTTTGCAGAAGAGACAGTTCCCAGCAAACTACAGTGATCCCTCACCACAAAATACCCCATTTCCACAGGAAAAAAAATTGAATTTTTTAAAACATTTTTTTTTTTTTTGTCAGAGAGAGAGTGTACGCGCACAAGCAGGGGAAGTGGCAGGCAGAGGGAGAAGTAGGCTCCCCGCTGAGCAAAATATTGGACTCGATCCTAAGACCCTGGAATCATGACCTGAGCCGAAGGCAGATGCTTAGCCGACTGAGCAACCCAGGCGTCCCCAAAATTTGAATTTTTTCAACATCCAAAAACACAAAATAGGAAATTCTACACAGTTGTAGAATTGTTCATTTTACCCTTTTGCTTAGAAATGGTCAGTATTATGTTCGAGATTAGCGAAGAAACAGAAAAGGTGCCACTTTTGAATAATTCTACTTTGGACATTGTAAAACATCAGATGCCATAGAAACAGCACTACACCAGATGGCTATTAAATCCATGCTTTTCATTACAGATTGATGAATCAATAGACATTAGTAAATGTGCCCAGTAAATAGCACTGCTTAGAATCTCTAAACAGAAATTCTTAGAACATTCTGCACATCTACTAAAGCAAACTGAGATGAAATACCCAAAATTAAAAATGAAATCTTTGAAAAAATAAGATATTATGGAAATCTTTCTCAGTTTATGTAAGTGGTAGTGCTGCTTTATATTAGGAGTTCACCTGAAAACAGCATATGAATTGTCTTACTCAATTTTGCATAGGAGAAACTCAATTTTGCCCATAGGCCTGAATTCCACATTAAATTATCTTTTCAAAATGCTGACTCTAATAATAATAACAGACACTTAAAAATAGTACTCACTGTGTGCTAGGACTGTTGTAAGAAGTTTATATATATAGCTTTGCGCAGTGGCAGTATCGTAGCCAATGAGGTTTACCCGAGATGCGATTATTGGTAATTGAAAAGAAGTTATTATGTATATTTACTAATGTAATCATCACAACAAATTGATGATGTAGGTACTATAAATGTCATCCCATCTATAGCTGAGGTAATGAGGTAAAGAGCACTTAGGTAATTTACCCAAGGTCCCATAGCTAGGAGGGGGCAAAGCCAAGGTTCAAAGCCAGGTAACCTGGTTCCAGAGTTTACTCTTTTTTTTTTTTTTTACTTAAAAAAATTGTGATAAAATGTATATGACATGAATTTTATCATCCTAACCATTTTTAAGTATACAAATCAGTAGTGTTAGGCACATTCACATTGGTGTGCAGTCTCCAGAACTGTTTTCATCGTATAAAACTGAAACTGATATATCCATTAAACAATTCTCCAATCCCTTCTTCCCCTGCCTCTGACAGCTACCATTCTACTTTCTGTCTCTATGAATTTGACCAATCTAGGTACCTCATATATAAGTGGAATCATACAATATATGTCTTTTTGTAACTGGCTTTTTTTACTTAGCATAATGTCCTCAAGTTTCATTCACATTGTAGCATGTGTCAGAATTTACTTTTTATGGCTATAATAATATATATACACCTTTTTAATAAAAAATATATGCCTTTTTAAGGTATAATATTTCATTATAGGTTTATACCACATTTTGTTTTTCTGTTCATCTTTTGAAGAACACAGGTTACTTCCACTTTTTGGCTGCTGTAAATAATGCTGTTATGAACATATGTGCAACTATTTGCTAAAGTTCCTCCTTTAAGTTCTTTGGGGTATATACCCAGAAGTGGAATTGCTGACTCATATGGTAATTCAGTGTTTAATTTTTTTGAGCAATTGCCATATTGTTTTCCGTAGGAGCTGCATCATTTGTATTCCTACCAACACACAAAGGTTCTAATTTCTCCACATCGTCACCAACATTTGTTATTGTCTGTTATTGTTTTGTTTGTTTTGTTTTATAGTAGCAATCCTAGATCCTGATGAGTATCAAGTAGTACCTAATTGTGGTTTTGATTTACATTTCCCTAATGGCTAGTGATGTTGAGCATCTTTTCATGTCCTTATTGTCCTTCATATATCTTCTTTGGAGAGAGATTTATTCAAATCTTTAGCCCATTTTTGAATTGCATTGGGTTTTTTGTTGTTGAATTATAGGAGTTCTTAGCATAACTGGATATTAATCCCTTATCAAATCTTTGATCTGTAAGTATTTTCTCCCATTCTATAGGTTGTCTTTTCACCTTTTGATGTGTAAAAGTTTCTAAATTTGATGAAGTCCAATTTATCTATTTTATCTTTTGTTACCTGCGTTTTTGTTGTCAGCCAAGAAGTCATTGCCAAATCCAGTGTCCCCTGTGTTTTCTTCAAAGAGTGTTAATAGTTTTAGTTCTTATGTTTAGGTCTTTGATCTATTTTGTTTTTGGTTTTTGGGGTTTTTTTAAAGATTTTATTTATTTATTTGACAGAGAGATAGAGAGAGCACAAGTAGGCAGAGTGGCAGGCAGAGGGAGAAAGAGAAGCAGGCTTGTGAGCCTCAATCCCAGGACCCCAGGATCATGACCTAAGCTGAAGGCAGCCACTTAACCGACTGAGCCACCCAGGCACTCCTTCGATCTATTTTGAATTAATTTTTGTATATGGTTAAGGTAAAGATCCAACTTTTATCCTATAGCTTAATTTCTGACCTATTGTCTTTATCACCCACTCTCAATTTAAAGAGTCGGCATAATGGATATAGGAAAAGTAGGTAGTAAGGAAGTGGCAGTAGCAAGTATAGATTACTCATTTAGAAATCTCAGTAGTTAGAAGGTGGAGGCAAAGAAAGATTGCTGTTTTTAGGTAGAGAATATTTTTCTTTAATAACATGTTCATTGGAGAAAATTTGGAGAGGTCAGAAATATTAAGATAAAACATATCTTGGAAAACAAATAATATATAATGTTTATGGATATGTAAATATGTAGTAAATGCTTAAAATCTATGCTTGACAATGATAAATCCTGAATTCATTATAATGGTTTCCCTTGGGAGCAGAAGGGGGGAACAGGATGAGGAAAGGGTACATAGGAGGCCTCAACCTATGATGTTAATAATTTTTAAAAAAGAGATGTCTGAAATAATATGACATAATACCTAGGATTCAACAGAGCTAGTTGATGGGTACAGAGGTATTTATGATCTTTATTTTTATGTTTGAAATATAATAAAAATAACTTAGAAAGAACATAAGGGGCCTCTGGGCGGCTCAGTTAAAGCATCTGACTTTCGGGGTGCCTGGGTGGCTCAGTTGGTTAAGCAACTGCCTTCGGCTCAGGTCATGATCCTGGAGTCCTGGGATCGAGTCCTGCATCGGGCTCCCTGCTCAGCGGGGAGTCTGCTTCTCCCTCTGACCCTATCCCCTCTCATGCTCTATCTATCTCATTGTCTCTCTCAAATAAATAAATAAAATCTTTAAAAAAAAAAAAAAAAGCATCTGACTTTCGCTCAGGTCATGATCTCAGCATCCTGGGATGGAGCATCAGGCTCCAGACTCAGCAGGGAGGTTGCTTGTCCCTCTCCTTCTCCCCCTACCCCCACTGGTGCTCTCTCTGTCTCTCTCACAAATAAATAAAATCTTTCTTAAAAAAAGATTAAAAAAATAAAAATAAACAGAACATAAAAGAATAAAGCTTAGAAAGTTTAGCAAATCAAAGGGAGGTTTAAATCTTCCTCTAAGATAGGAGGGAGGCAGAGAAAAGAGGTGAAAAAAATTTTTTTACAAAGGACCTTTGAATTAAAGAATAGAAGGAGCCCAGGACAGATAAATCTTAGTCTCATTTTGGTGACAAAGTCATTTGCTGAGGGTGGATTGGGAGTACTGGGGATGGTTTTGAGAGTTTCAAGTTGGTTGGAAAGTTTGACAGATTCAGGATAGGAGCTGTGCAGAAACAAAGTTGATTGCTGAATAGCATTGAAGGGCCACCAAAGGATGGTTGTCAGGAGTTTGTTGTAGGGCAAGATACCACAATTACATGAATTTGCTAGCATTGCTTTGTAGCCAGGAGAACAATAAAAGAATAAAAAAAATAAAAGCAAAAAATTGAATGATAGATATTGGATTAAGGTTGTATTAGGAATAATTGGGTTATAAGGGCAAGAAATCCACTCTAACAAAAGTCAGTGGGGAGCTATTGTAAGGTTTCAGGAGACAATCATAAGGGCAACCAAAGACAGAAACACAGACATCTCTTCAGTATGTTCATCTCTGGGATTTGTATCTTTCTTGAGTGCCTTACTCTGCACATGGCTATACTGACACGGTACTTCCTTTATGTAAGTCCCCACCCTCCTCATGATTGCAGATTTTACTCATTAGTGGGTTATAAAATCAATTAAGTTGGTTGCAACCAGCTTTTTTACAAAAGTAGTTCAATACAGTTAGTAGGGTTATTTTAAGCTGTGTGTGTGTTTGAATGCATATTTATTGCAAAATAAAATTAATCACATATATTGAGTGCCTGCTATGTGCCAAACAGGGATACATTAGTAAATTAACCAAAATCCTTGCCCTTTGCTTCCTCCTGCCCAAGAACCTCTCAGAATACAAGGCAGAGTAGGCAGAGTTCAGTTGCCCAATGGGGAGGGCAAGGGGTCATTGCAAGGGGTAAGGAAGAAGGGTTGTAGGAAACCTGTCTGAGCTATATAGATCTTGCACTGTGTAGGAAACAGAGGTTGTGTGCCCCTGGGTTAAGTTCTACTCCCGAGGTTCAGGTGTACAGGGCCTGCCAAAGGCTACACCTGGAGCAAGAGAATCTTGTTCCCATCCCTAGTCTTTCACCAAGTAACAAGCAGCATTAGTCTACCACTTGGGGTGGGGGCAGGAACATGAAGACACCTGCTCTATGCACAAGTATACAAGACCTGCTGAGGGGTGCCTGGGTGACACAGTCACTTAAGTGGCTAACTCTTAATTTTGGCTCAGGTCATTATCTCAGGGTCCTGGGATCAAGCCCTGCCTTTGGCCTCTGTGCTCAGTGGGGAGTCTACTTGAGGATTCTCTCTCTTCCTCTCTCTCAAATAAATAAATCTTAAAAATAAATAAAGACCTACTAAAAACTGAGGATGAAGCAAGAACTTTCAGAAAAATTCTCCAGTAATCCATTCCTCACACTAAAACACAAGGTATTGTCAGTTTAGCACTGGAAGAATTTGAAGCCTGTGATGCGCTGAAGCTAACAAAAACAATAAGACCAAACCCAGCTCGCCTATGCACTAGATTGATTCAGATCCCCACCCTAATGGCCTGGCAGAAACAGGTATGATTATTTCCAAGCATAAATACTGTTTTCCTCAGTTTCTACTTTTTAGACATAGTATCTAAAAAATAAAAATTAAGAAATATACAAAAGAAGCAACACAAATACAACCAGACCTAGAGATTGTCCAGATGTTAAAACTATAACATAGGGATTTTAAGTAATTAATTAAAGAATCTAGAGGAAAAATTCCTGCCTTTATGGAATTTATAATCTAGTCGACAGAGACAGACAATAAACAAAATAAATATATAGTGTCTTAGATGGTGCTGAGTGCTGTGGAGAAAAAGCAGAGAAGGACGAATGGGTGATTTGGGGAGTGGAAGGAGAAGGTGACATTTGATAAATGATCTAAAGGAGATAAGGGAGCAAGTTAAGAGGATATCTGGAAGGAAAATGTCCAGGGAAGGGCAGGTGTGGGGGGAACAGCAAGTGCAAAGGTACTGAGGTGAGAGGGTGGCTATGTATGCTGTGTGGTGAGGTTTTCCTCTCTGGTGGTGGGAGCAGGCACTATTCCCTGTCCTGTGTGAGCTACAGGTATTTTTCCCTCATTACTTTTGACTGTTTCTCTTCGTGTTAGATTGTTCCTTCACACACATGTGCTGACCAGTAGTCAGCTGATAACTTGAAGGGGACCTTTTGTAGATCTCTAGAATTTGTGCAGGGCTTTCCTTTGTTGTACTTTGCCCTGTAAACGCTAGCTCTTTTGACCCTCTCTAAACTTGCAGCTCTTTGTTCTCAATCTGGGAGACTGCTGGGTTCTGTTTGGGTTATTCCTCCTCACGCA